CATAACGTAAGCTAACCTATTATTCAAATCCACGTTTTGTTTAATTTTTGCTCATTATTTGGATATTTYGCCTGCAGGCTCAGTGTCGAGCTGTAACCCAGGCTAGATATTTTCGATAAAGTGTTTGCTAATCGGCTCACATAATTTGTGTCATAGTTCCACCTAGATTCACCGAGGTACAGAAGCCATTTCAAACAATTCTTCAAGGGAGTACTGTGAATTTAAAATGCGTTGCATTGGGTTATCCACCACCTATTATCACCTGGACTAAAATGCTTGGTTCTCTTCCTACAAAACGAAGTCAGCAAAATGGCGGGAAACTGACCATAACTAGATTCCAGCAAAGTGATAGTGGATCTTATCAATGTGAAGCTGTGAACTCCGTCGGGAAAAATATATTCTACACGACATTGAGCTTTGGTAACAGCAATTCATGTGTTGTTTATAACTCTGAGACCCCTTTCATACGAACTCCTAGATTTTATATCCGCAAATGTTTTTTGTTTGGACACAGCGCTTATAGTGTCTCCGAAAAATTGTGTATGCGAAAGCTCAGGACTCGCGTTGACGAAGTTTGATAATGTAAGGTATAAAACACACTAATTCCAAAGATGTTGTCATAGAAAAAGAGCACATTTATACGTAAGAAGACTCAATACTTTTTATTCTTAATATACACCTATTTAAAGAACTTAAACGTTGAATTGTCAGTGAAAACATTGAAGGCGATTGTCGAATGGAGATTTTATGACCGAGAGTGACTATGGCAACCGCAGTTTGACAAATGAATGATTTTGGTTGATCGAGTCATGTTTCTGGAATATGTGTACTATATGTAACCACTGCTACAAGCTACAAGCTATATTCATATGATCCAGTAGTTATATATCGATGGCATTGTGCTGTGATATTGAGTTGCTCGCGGAAAGTATCCGAAAAACCAAAAACGCGTAGGCTTAAACTGCTTTATTGCAGTCAACAAAAAGATTGAATGAACCCGCTAGAACAGGTCACATGGTCGATTCTCCACCAATTAGTCTGAAAGAAAATTTGTTGTTGGCTTATAATACGCTAGTTATTATTTCCCTCCAATTAGCAAAGCCCATGGCTTCTTTCGGTCGTGAAATCTCCATCGGCATTCACCACATTTAATAGGGCAACATTCTTTTGGAATTATATATTCAATTTTTTTAAGTACACCGTTTTAGCAGGTGTACATGTGCGTACTAGACAACTTTGCAACATTCCATAATCATAATATAACGTGGTTCACAAAGATTATTTTTTGTGGAAGTTACGACGTATCGGTGATTGTTGTAAGTTTATGTCCCTTCGATCCAGGACAACGATAGAACTATCTGATGACTATATACTCTATTCATTCTATTCTAATTTGTAATATTGTTTTACATAGGGGCATGTGATGACGCACTTGGTATGCAAAGTAAGGCTATCCGTGACTCGCAGATTACAGCTTCCTCGTCCTATAATTTAAGATATCTCCCTTCTTATGGTAGACTTAACATAGTCCTTGGTAATGGTGGATGGCTGGCTCGCTCAAATACAATAGGAGAGTGGATACAAGTTGACTTTCTTCAAGCAACTAGAATTACAGCAATTGCAACTCAAGGTACTCCTAAGTATGATGAATGGACGTCAACCTACAGTCTTCAGCACAGCTACGATGGAACTAGCTTCAGAGACTATGAAGGGGGAAAGACTTTACCTGGAAATTCCGATAGATCAACAGTTGTAAAAAACAACCTTGACCCTGCTATAACTGCCAGATATATCAGACTTCTACCAAAGACATACAATAACTACATGGTTATTAGAATGGAACTATATGGATGCCAACTATAAAACCAAACTATAAATGTAAAAGGCTATTATAACTGCTTTTACTGCGCCCTGGCAGAACCCGTCAAGATCTACAAAGGACAAGGATTCGTAACTATAGATCGACAGTACACAAACTGGTGGTTATAGCTCCTGTAGAGGAACAGAAGTAAATATTTGACTATTTACTTTGATATGATTTTGTCATGCCTACACTTTATTTCTCGGTGGCCGGATCGGAGTGTATCGTTTAAATACTAATCGATATTGTATTGTGTGATTGCGTTACGTCGCGCCTTACGTAGTTTTACGTCACTGAATGTAATTAACTTAATTATCGTTATTCATTGTGAAGACCTTGTATTATCGGAAGGACCATAAGATTTCGAATCGCCCCGTGTAAGAGAATCCGGAATCCACTAAAAAAACAGCTTTGGAATCCGGAATCCCTATCCTGGAATCCGGAATCTAAATATTTGGAATCCATAATCTGGAATCCAGCAAAAAAATTGTTGATATCTAAAAGACACATAGGACATCGTCCCGCTGACGCCCCTGCGCAGGCTACTGACACGCTGAATATAAAATTTTCAGGAAAAAAACCCCCTGAAAATCAGGCCATTTATTGTACAGAATCCAAAACAAAAATTCTTTGGAATCCGGAATCCCAAGGCTTGAAATCCGGAATCCAATGTTTCGGAATCCGGAATCCAGCGCTTGGAATCCGGAATCCTCTAGTTCTCTGGATTCTCTTACATGGGGCGATTTCGAACCATATAATTGTTGGTGATCAACTCAGTAATTCTGATAATTGGTCACGATGACAATAAAGTGTTTGGAACTGTGGTCATGTTTCAACATAACAACAATTTTATAAAAAAGGGATCATTGCACTGAACACTCTACGAACAAAGAAAAAATGAAAAAAGTCGGTTGTTTTAAAAAAAAAACTTGTAGGAGAAATAGACATGTGTATAAGCTGAAAGCTTCAGTAATTTTTCTTATCGAACACAAAACTTTGTTAAGGACTTCATATTTTTCTTTTTCGTTTTCGTTGACCTCAACGTATCTTTAGCCTTACAGCGGAAATCGTTGCATCGCGACCTCTTTGTTTTGAAGTTTGTCTGGATTTTGTTCTTTCTKTCAATCTGAGGGRYGGAGCTTTTCGAAAACTCGTTCAATCATTGGCTGATTTGTATCAAGCTCCGCCCCCAAGTCGCAGAAAAACCTAAATCCCCCGAACAATTCCCTTTGAACATTGAAGTCGCGATGCAACGGCTTCTGCTGTAACGTGCTAAAAAGTCTAAGTGCTAAAGATACGTTAAAGTCAAATGAAACGAAAAAGAAAAATATGAAGTAAGCTGAAAGCTGATCTCCTAGTCTGATATCAGGGTCTTAATGGGGTTTACCGACTAGCGACAAATGGACAAAATAACAACTGACTACCGACAAATTTGAACAAAATTTACTGACTACCTACAAGAGCATATTTACTAACTGGCGACATTTTCCTTAAAAGATTATATTTGAATGCAAGTTTCTTGTATTTTTCAAGCAACTACATTTGAAATGTTCAGCGGAAAAATAAAGTTGCTTCGGATCAGGCCAGTCTAAAACTTTGAGTGACATCCAATTGAACAATCAAGCCTCAAGGATATATTCAATTGTGGCATTTTAGAAAGCATTCTGTTGATATAACGCCCCGTAGTAGATGCATTCAAATGTAATGTTTATCAAATTTTTTTAAATAACCGACTACCGACAAAAACCTAGAATTTTAACTGACCACCGACAAATGCTTGAAATTTTAACTGACAACCGACATCGAGACCCCCATTCAGACCCTGTGATATTATTAAAGTGAAGGTATAAAGAAAAGTTCCTTGCATTTTTTGTAGTTGAATCAACCTTGTAGTGTACTATTTCAAATCCTACATTCTGATTGGCTTCGCTACTCGAGGTCTATTTTCTTATTGAAAAGGGTAAATTTTAATTTGGTTTTTAGAAATATTGTGGGTCAAATTGACGTGTTAAGTACAACTTTAATTTTTTTCCACTGAAACAAGCTTTCACCACCGTCAAACATGCAAAGCGTGTCAAACGCAACGCTCACTCGTGAGAGATCTTTTCAACACTCGAAGATAAAATCCGTATCTCCGCCCCCC